AGGCCCGGCTGCAGCGGTCAGACCCACACCGTGTGCCCCCCCCAGCCGTGTGCGTGCCCACTGGGGCACAGCTCGTCATTTCAGGACTCCCAGCCTACCAGTACATCCAGTCCCATAGTTCCAGCAGCAAGGGTGGCATTTTGGGCAACAACTCACCACTCACACTGTTGAGACAGGGCTCCCGAGAGCAGCGGTTCGTGCCCACCGTGCCATGTCCACCCCAGCCTGGAGGCTCATCTGAGGAACGGGACGCCTGGTGCACAACGCCGGCTCCGTCCCCACCTACACACAAGCTGGGACCAGCCGTCTCACCAGCTTTATCAGCTGAATAACTCTTGCCTTTCTCGCCAAGGAGCTGTGAAGCTCCATCCACGGCTTTCAAACATCACCACCTCCTCGCGTGAAACGCGGTCGGACAAGACATCAACCTGCTTTCACGTGAAAGGCTCGCCTGCCCCGCTGGCAGGAGCGCAGAGGCGCACAGATCCACTCACCCCATCCCGACCCTACCTCCCGCCGCAGGCCTGGCTCTCCCCGGGCAGAAAGGGATGTGAAATTTCTTGGCCTGAAGCCGGGGGATTTACTAGGTGCAGACCAGGAAGCTGAGCCCGGTGCTCTGGTTTTAATAAGGTGGCAATAAGCAATGCGTCTTTCTGCCCTCAGAATTCCTCCTCTTCAAGTACAAGATTTATTAGAGGAGCTATAAATCATTTTGTGTTGCAACTGGCCAAAAAAGCCCGACATTTTTATTGTTTTTGATTAATAGATTTATAATTGGCAGCAGGCATGGCAACCTCTGCGTTTATTTTTCCCAAGACTTTCTTCCTTCTCCTTGCAGCTGACGCAGCTTGGGCTCCTTTACACGTTACTTTTTCTCCAGATCACTTATTGTTTGGATTTCAATCGAATTGTGTTCTCTGTGGTCCTAGTCCACAGGTACTATCTTTAGGCAAGGGTTTAATTTTGGGTTGTTTAGAAAAGGGCACTGCTGAAACACCCTGAAAAGAACACAAACATACATTTTTACTTTCTGCTGTTGGCTGGGGAAAGGGGGAGGTTTCCCCAGCCAAGCCCATGCCTCTTCACACCCTTCCGAGCTCAACTGCCACCAGCAGCAGACGTGGCCTCACTTCTCCCAGTCCCTCTCAAAACATGCCCTGGAGTCCACCAAGCCACACAGGACCCCAACCTCATCCACGGGCAGGTCACCTCGTCACCTCATAGAGCGAACCTGAGACAACCCATCTCTGCGTGCTGCCGGGGGGCACAGCTGGACGTCTTCCTGGAATCGGTGTTCAGGAACTTCCTGCAATTTGTTTTGAATTATTTCCCACATGTGCAGAAAGAGGATTGAACTTTTATTAGTTGGGCGAGCAGAGATCAAATGTTAAGAGAAAACTATCTCCCGCAAAGCTGCGATGTGCATGCTGCTTCCAGCAGCAGTTTACAAATGTTCAAACAGCACCCTGAAAGCATCGGCCAAGTCAAGCGGATTAAAAACCGATGAGAAATGCCAGTGACAAGCCCCAGGTAAAGCTTCCAGAAACCCTCCGTTCCTCTTCCAGGCCGAGGGCAGGTGGGACACAAGCCCTAGGTCAGAAGCGCAATTCTCCATCTCGGGACTGGGTAAAGCAAGGCAGTTCAGAGACTGGATCGACATCACCCCAGACTTCCACAGCTGGTCAGAAGAAAGCCCAGAACATTTCTACACTCCAGCCACAGCACAAAAGCTGCCGGAGAGCTGCTCTGCGGCGGCTCAGACTTTTCCTTTGCACTCAAGCCTGTTTCAGAAAACTTGCATTTTCCAAATGACTGCCTCATCAGAGAAACCCAAGCTCAGGCATGTGCTTGAGCCCAGACCTGACAGGAGGCTTGAAGGCCAAGTCAGGAAGCACACAGCTCCCTCCCTTCTGCTTCAGCTTGTCCCCGCTGCCGGCACCATGCTGGCATCGACAGTAAGCACAGCGAATACAAAGGAGCAGAGGAGACGCGGCTGGGGTTTTCAAACCAGCAGGAAACTGCCAGGAGGAGGAAAAGACTGTCCATGAGGGACACGTGGCTCCTACGCCAGCCCTCGCTGACACCTCAGGAGGGGCAGTTCACACACCTCCAGACCAGTCTGGGGTACTCACCGCCACAAGATGTGCACGCCTGAAGTTTAAATGGATGCAAAACACAAATGCACAGGTTCATGGAGAGGAGTCCATCAAACACAAAGCCATCCTCAGCTCCGAAGCCTGGAGCTCCTCTTAGAGATAGGATCACGGATAAATCCCCAGTAATGCCCCGTTTCTGTGCTCTTCCCTGGACATTGTTCCCAGCCAGTGCTAAGGTGAGGACACTAGTCCTCCCTGGAGGGACCTTCTTGTTCTTAGCTACCTGAGAGCTGCTCCCTAGCCACATGTACAGCAATTAAAAGTCTCTTCTGTATGACGGCATTTAAACACCAGCAGACCGTCCTGCCCTCTCCCAACCCCCGACAGACACAGAGACACAACCCCTGAGATGTGCTTCTGCAGCATGTCCTTACCCTGACAGGCCTTGTGTCCTCCAGATGCCACCAAGGGCAGCCAGAACGTTCCCGCTAGCGTTGCTGGATCCAGCCTGCCACATAGAAAGAGAGAGACTGGAAGCTGTTGGCAGAGGTTTGGCTCCTTACCGAGCTCCTTGTCCCCGGTTAGTGCTACATTACAGCCATTACCGACATCCTAACGACCTCCTTACCCCAGGCACAGGCAAAAGCTCCTCGTCTCCAGGCATAAGGCAAAGGGCAGAAAGGGAAACCGAGGCACAAAAGAACAAAACAATCACTCCAAGGTCACAGAGCTGCTTAGTTCAGAACTGAGTATCCCGTCCTTTCTGCGCTACACTCAGCTCTACGTCCAGCAGCTGACACTGGAGTGAGATGTTAATAAAAACACGCTCTCAAAGCACCAACAAGCGACTCTGCTGCTCACTGCACACGGACAGCAGCTTTGCAATTTACTTAAAAAAAAAACCCACGAGTAGTCTATTACATGTGAAAATTGGCCTTGACTGTAAAACAGAGGACAAACAGCAGGACTACAGACAATTAAATTACATGTGTGATCTAGTTAGTGTGAGATGACTAATATAAAGATGCTGTCTGAACGGTCTCGGAACATCCCAAAGCACAGCCATTCCCTTACCAGCGCTGACCTGGCTGCTGAGCGCAGCGGCAGGCAGAACTGAAACGCACTTCTTGCAGCTCTGTCACCCACACTCTCCACAGGCAAAGCAGCTGCAGCACCCGGCAGTGAGACACACAACGCCACGGCACGGTGAGCGCAGGTGTGCGTGACTCGGCTGGGGAGGTGCATGTCATCAACAAGAAACATCCTCGTACTGAGGGACATGAGCAATGGGGTGAAAACCATCCACAGAAACTCCAGGACGCCTGACCTTTGCCAACACAACAGCTCTTTTCAGGGCAGGGAAAGGCCAAGGGCCGTTAGCTATGTGGCTGCTTAGCTCTCCTCGGGGGTCAGCGAGATCATGACAGGAACACTGGACTTACTAGCTATTTAACTACTTACTAAACTTACCAATCTTATCAGCAATCTTCCTTCTGCCCTGGTTGGCAGCTGTAAGCCATCATGATCTCTGTGCCTTAAAATTTTAGGACAGAAAATCCAGTGCCAAGTCCTCCTCAGAAAAGACACACACACATGCTCAAGCCCAATCATTATCAAAAAAACCAGAGGAATAAATCCCTAACGGGAAGTTTAACTTTGGGCATCTGACTCTGCGAGGATTTTCTCCTAAAGAGACTGCGTGAGCCTCTGGAATTTTAGCACAAGCACAGGCCCTTCTCAGCTCCTTTGGGAAAGGACCAGAAGAGCAATACAAGGCAAGGAACACAACAATTTCATTAGTTCTGCATGCGGTACTTGTTCACATCTAATCCTGCCTTTGAGGACAAGAGCAGAAATCATTATTAATAGGTGCTGGATTTCATTCTGTAATGGTCATACAGAAACTTAGCAACTACCCAAGACATTCACCTGCGTGTCTGCCGGCCTCCTTCGCTCTTACCTTTGCCAGCATAATTCTGGTCTTCGCTACATCGAGAGGTGTGGTGACTGCAGCTGCAAATCCACCTGAGCAAATTAAAATACCAAACACAAGTGAGACATTGTTGGTTGAATATGAATGCCACACTGCCTATAATTCCCATGGCTGTGGTCAACACTGCTCCATTATTAATGCCTACAGCATGTTTCCTCCCGTCAGAGTCCAGGTACGTTTGTTGAAGGTCTGTACACAGAGTGTTTTATTCCTGCGTGTTGACTCAAGGAAAACAGCTCTACACTAGTTAACTATAAATCCAAACATTCCCGTTGAGATTACTGTCCTTTTGTTTTGGACTCTGTACATATATGAACATATGAAGGTCGTAAGGGTAACGGATTCCACTTCCAACACCTACAGACAAGTCTGAAAGAAGAACCTGCTTACTCACTTGCGGAGATCAGAAAATAAGCTCATCACGCTGTGCTCTGCCTTGAGAATGAGAGCCTGACCATTCAAATGTTAGAAAGATACAAAGCAAGGAAAGCTGGAGCACCCTTGCTTCAGGGGCAAAGCTATCCACATGATACAGACAGACTGGATCTGGACTCAACTGTTAGACCTGGGACTCCCTTCCAAAGAGAAAAAAGACAAGCCAGTGTTCGGGATGGAGCTCATCTCTGACAAATGGAATCAGCTCCTTTTTGGACAACAATTACGTGAAGCTGCCCAAGGGTCCTTGGAAATTGTCAGAAGTCTGCTGTCTGTCACAAGTGCCAGCTTCCCCCCACGGGCATTTTTATTCTTTCTAATCACTCCCAAGCGTCACCCTTGGAGCTCATTACTTTCACTTGGAGCAGCCAGCTCAGCTGTGGCTTTCCTCCTGAAAGCCAGAAATCTTCAGCTTATCCATCTGCATGTCTCACCCCCAAACGTGTGTGTGTGTCTGCCTCCATATTTAACCCTGTGGCTACAGCCTGGCCTCCTGTGCTATCTAGGGACCAGCTTAGCTGCCTTTCCTCACAGGATCTTATTCCCTTTGCCTTAATTTCCCCATCCTAAAATTAATTCTAATCTCTCCCTCCTCTGTTCACACTATTTCAGGCAGTGATTCATGCTGAGAAAGCGCCAAAGTGAAGGAAACTTTTAAACTGCAGGAGCAGCCCAGCAGTAAGTGAAGAAAGAAAGGGAAAGAAACCAGGGAAGAAAAGAGAGAGAGACTTGTTCTGAAATCTCCTTCTTCTTCCTCCTGTTTTTTTTCTCTGGAGCTTGTATAAATCCTGTATCTGCTAAAGCAGGGAACAACATGACTCCAAAGACTGAAGCCTACACAGTACCCAGGGAATAAGCTAAAAATAATCTATTTTGCATTCCAAGTTCTAGGGAATGTAGAAAAATCGATCTCTCTTTTCTTGGGACGGGAGAGGGGAAAAACATTTTTCCTAATATCTGTAAAGTAATGAAAAAATCCACCTTCCCTGCTGGCTCTTGTTTTGACCTGCATCTCTCTCTCTCTCAGCCACCTTAGCTTTAACATACTAAAACCCTGCTTTACATGAGAAGGAGGTCGGGCCAGCTGGCACCCTATGCTGACTTCTTACACTCAATTAAGGAATGTCCCCTGGCAGCTCAGGAGAGGCAGTGCGGCACACGCGCAGTCCCCTGCATCTCCAACAAGCACAGCAGGCGAGCAGAGCCAGCCAACAGCCCAGAACGCCTGGCTTCGGAGCCGCTCCGGCTCACCTAAGGTCGGCCCATCCGGCTCACTCTGCCGGAAGCTTTCTAGCAGTGACACCTCACTAAACAGCAGAAAAAATGGGTTGTATTCAAAAAGCCAAAGCAGAAACTATGAGCAAGTTAAACTAAATTCCAGTCCATTCTTGGACCTTCCTTAAGGTCAAAAATCTTTTTATTGTGAGCCAGTTTTTGAGTAAGTGACCCAAAGGCTTTGAGAGAATGGTCTAGATAGAAACTTTGCTACTCGTGTCAGCGATGTATTTTTAGAACAGTAAAAATAATTTCCATGGAAAATAGCGGCTTTACAAGTCTGGATGTAGAAGCCCTTCCTTTGCCCACAGACCAAGATAAAATTAAACAGTGAACCACATGGGTGTCAGGCTTCTATTAAGCAAAAAATCTCAGTGCCTCACTCAGCTACAGAGTTGACGGTAACACTTTAGTCAGACGAACTTATTTCCCTCATCAGATCCCGGTAATTTTTTTAAGTGTTTGTTACCAACAGTTTCTTATTGGCAGAAGCTTCAATCTTGGCTGACAGAGCGATCAGAACACACACCATTTATCCTGATCCAATGGCCCCAAATTCTTACCTGAAAGGTTTAACCAAGGTATTTTTTCCCCAGCTAATTTGACATCTCAATGATTCTTCTTATGTCACTGGGAAGTATTTGGTACAGATTTACCAATCAACTTAGAATTACAACAGCAACAATAAAATGCTTCATAAGCACAACAAGCATCAGGAAAGTGGCTAAATTAAATGCAAGTTTGTATATGCTTGACAAAAGCACAAGATTAAAGCTAGCATTTGTTGGCAACTGCGTTTTACTGAAGGCAGCAAGTCTGACAAAATCAATCTGCTCCACCCTTAACCCTAAACTTCCAAGGTAATTTTAGAGTGACCTCTTCAACGTTAGTACACAGGTATCCAAGAACAGGTTACAAAGCTAGTGAGGTAGCGCTCAGTCCCACCTACTCTAGCTGGGTAAAGGAACTTAAAACACTACCGTTTCCAATCATCAGATTAATCCAACAAACTAGCACAGCCAGAGTCTACTCATTCAACTAGTAGGGCTGTGTACTGCACTGTCTAATACACAGGAAGGCCTAACAGATCTTTAAATCACTCCTTTAGGCTATTCCTGCT